CACACTCACACACACACACACACACACATACATACACACACACCTGATGTGTTGACATGGCTTTCTCTCTCTGCAGGCCAATAAAGCTCCTCTGCGGCAGCTGGATCTGAGTCGTTTGCCCGGAATGAACTGTGGTCCGGATTTCACACCTTCGTTTGCTAATCTCGGCCGTCCGTCAGCCGGCGGGCGTGGCCCGGTCAGTTACAATGGCAACCTCACCTGAATGCATGCTTTTATGTTTATATTTCCTAAATATATTTTACTAGAAGTTTTTAATGTAAATAGACAACATTTTTATTCAGAGATATGTATTTAAAAAAGTATCACCTTTTTTTTTGTCATGTGTTGATCTTAAATGTCTTATATTGCTTTTGGTGAGTTTTGTTAATTTTAGACTTTTGCTAGTAAAATAAATGATAAATAACATTTTAATTATTAATTCAATTTTTAACGATAGCCTTGCTAAAAATAAATAATTAAATAAATAAAAATGCTATAATTAATTAATTTAAATAAATTAGTTATTAATTTTTTTAATATAATACATTAAAAATAATTTAATTAATTTATCATTTTTTAACGATGGACTTGATGTAAATGAATACAATTCTAAATATATATATATATATGTATATTTGTATATGTAAGTATAATGCAGACAGTTCTCTCTCGCTAGCCGTCTGGTCTGAGTGGTCCTCGTCGTTCAGGTCAGGGTCAGCGCGGGAAAGAGCCGCGGAAGATCATCGCTAGTGTTTCCCTCACCGAAGACGTGCAGCTGAATAAAGCAGAGAAGGCCTGGAAACCGATGGGGAAGCGCAGCGGCCGCGCCGACGAGGATGAGCCCGAGTTCCTGAAGACGCAGGAGCTGTTCAAACGCGTGCGGAGCGTGCTGAACAAACTGACGCCGCAGATGTTCCAGCCGCTGATGAAGCAGGTGACGGAGCTCACCATCGACACCGAGGAGCGTCTGAAGGGAGTCATCGACCTCATCTTCGAGAAGGCCATCTCTGAGCCCAACTTCTCTGTCGCCTACGCCAACATGTGCCGCTGCCTGATGGGGGTGAGTGTGGAGACCGCAGCTCCTGCAGCGTCCGGTCTGTGTGAAAGTGTTTAATCGTCTGTCTCTCATCGCAGCTGAAAGTCCCCACCTCAGATAATCCTGGAGTGACGGTGAATTTCAGGAAGCTGCTGCTGAATCGTTGTCAGAAAGAGTTTGAGAAGGACAAAGATGATGATGAAACGTTTGAGAAGAAACAGAAGGAGCTGGATGCCGCCACAGTGGTAAACACACACTCACACACACTCTCACACACACACACACACACACACACACACACACACACACTCACACACACACACACACACACTCACACACACACACACACACACACTCACACACACACACACACCACACACACACACACACACTCACACACACCACACACACATACACACACACTCACACACACACTCACACACTCACACACACACACACACACACACACACCACACACACACATACACATACTTCAGTGCTCTGGCATGACGCTTTAAGCTTGACGTCGACTAGTCGCTGGTCCTATAGACCAATTATAGATTTGTAAACATTCAGGATGCGCGCGCATCATGGTTGCAGAAAACCCGGGAGAGATGGCCTTTACGGCTAGAGAATTTCACGGATACAGTACAAAATAGTTAGGTTTAAAACGATTATAAATTATATTGATTAGATGTCATTTTCTAAATGTTCTCCGCATATTACAAGAGCTTGTCACCCAGCGATCAGCACTGTTATTCAACTAAATTGACGTTAGAGAGTGCGATAGTCTTACAGATCCGAAACAGGGGTGATGTTTTTATGTGGGCGGAGCATATATGGAGGCAGAAAATGACGGTGTAGTCTATGGAGCCATGGAATAAAAGGAGTAAATTTTATTTTATATTTCAAAACTCTGACTTTATTCTCACAATTCCGAGATTATATCTCACAATTCTAACAAGGAAAAACAACTCGTCATTCTCTCTTTTCCCCTCGGCTCTTCTGGCTTTTTTCCCTCAGAATTGACAAACTCACTATTTTTGAGTTAAGTCGAGTTATAAAGTCCGAATTAGAAGATATAAACTTGCATTTGCGAGAAAAAATTAAATAAATGTTATGTAAAAATGTTAATAGTAAGGTTTAATAATATTTGATGCTGTAACTGTAGGGCTAATACAATACGTCCCCTATGAACAGCATATGTGAATATTATGCAGACCTATTGTTTAAATCGAATTTATGCTTTAAAAGTAGAGTAATCATAACAGTTTTCATCCATAGTCTGTCCGTTTAAACATCTGCGTTTAGCTTCAAATGGCGTCTTTGACGACAGTATTCTATCAAAATTATTTGCATTCCGATCTTGACATCAAAAGGCACAAAAATATTTTTTTTCTTTTATTCCATGGGTTTTACCCATTTACCTCCACTTGTTCCCAGTGTTTTCTGCAACCACTATGCGCGCGCAGCTGCAAGTGACGTAACTGTGACGTCTGCCCGGAATTGGTCTATAGAGGGCGCAACAGGTTAAGAAATCTTTGAAGGACTTCCACATTTACGCTCTGTTTCCAAACAGTTAAAATGGCAAATAAATGCATACTCTGAAAGCGCGCCACAAGACATGTGTGATTATATTACTGGATGCTCGAAATTGAACGGGAGAATGCATGTTTTAAACAGTTTATTATACAGGTAAGTTAATCGCCATTCTGATCTAATGCGCTGCTGCACTGTAACACACACACATTACAGACAGTAGCGTACATCACACGCATAGAATCATTCAGCGCGGAGATGTATCGTCAACACTGTTCTGAGATTTCTCAATAAAATAGCTTAGAAACTGGAAGGTCAAGTCCAGGTTTGCTGTGCTTGTTTGTTGGGCTGCACAATTTAGGCAACTAATCTGTTATTATATATCAATATAACTGTTATTATTGTTATTATTACTTAATAATACAAGAGATATTACTAATGTAATATTTCACTGCGATGTAAAAAAAAAAAAAAGAAGAATTTAAGAAAAATATGAATTATTATTATTTTGTATTATATATTATTCATATATTTTTTCAAAAAACAGGTTTTCTGTGCTCATTTTATTTTCTGTGTGTGTATGTATGTATGTATATATATATATATATAAACCATTATTATTATTCATAAAAAATATAAAACAAAATAAGGAATATTACTTTTGCAAAATTTCCCTGTAAAATAAAATTTTATTTTGGATTTTAAAATAATACAATTATTATTGTTGTTATTATTTAATAAACTAAATAAATACTACTGTTGTAATATTACACTGTAATAATAAAAAAATCAAAATGAGAAAAATATTTTGTTTTTACTGTATTAGTATTGATTTTGTTTTTAGTGTTTTTTTATTTTTCCTTTTTTATTATAAATCAGTATAACTATCGTTATTATTACTAATAAAAGTATGAAACAGAAATATTAATATTATAATTTCATTGTAAAAATAAAAAAATCAAGAATTTAAGGGATTTTTTTTTACAGTAAACTGTAAAGTTACTATACTAATATTTATGGCTGGCTTAATGTCTTAATTTTTTTCAAACGTTAAATCGTTGGGGAAAAACACTTCATTCTACCACATGCAGTGTTTTTATTTAAGTAATACATACAGCAACGTCAAATAGCACGACATACGGTCACGTTTGATTGCTGTTTTAAACGTGTTATGATTCATATCAAGAAGACAGTATGTGAATATGTATATACTTATATATTTACATAGTACAGAGGCTTTTATGACGTCACTTCCTGTCTCTGCCCCTTCAGGAAGAGGAGAAGCAGAGGTTGAAGGAGGACCTTGAGGACACCAAAGACAAAGCCCGGCGACGGTCGCTAGGCAACATCAAGTTCATCGGCGAGCTGTTCAAGCTGAAGATGCTGACGGAGACCATCATGCACGACTGCATCGTGAAGCTGCTGAAGAACCACGACTTGGAGAGTCTGGAGTGTCTCTGCCGCCTGCTCTCCACCATCGGGAAAGACCTGGACTTCGAGAAGGCCAAGGTGACACTCGTGCATTACACAACATCTCATGCAGCAACCATAGCAGGAGTGTGCTATATTATTGTGCATTCTGTTGCAATATTATTTATATAAGAGTGTGTGTGAGTGTTTGTGTTTGTGTGAGTGTGAGAGAGTGAGAGTGTGTGAGTGTGAGAGTGTGAGTGTGAGTGAGTGTGAGTGAGTGTGAGTGAGTGTGAGTGAGTGTGAGTGAGTGTGAGTGAGTGTGAGTGAGTGTGAGTGAGTGTGAGTGAGTGTGAGTGAGTGTGAGTGTTTGTGTGAGTGTGAGAGAGTGAGAGTGTGTGAGTGTGAGAGTGTGAGTGTGAGTGAGTGTGAGTGTTTGTGTGAGTGAGTGTTTGTGTGAGTGTGAGTGTGTGTGTTTGTGTGTGTGTGTGAGTGAGTGTGTGTGTGAGAGAGAGAGAGAGATCTCCAAGAAGGGCAGTGCAGGAGGAGGAGGAGGAGGGGTGGGGCCCCGTGGAGGCCCCCACACAGCCGGTTCCCGTGGCAACCAGGCCCCTGACGACGGCTGGAACATGGTGCCCATTTCCACCAAGAACAGACCCATCGACCCGACGCGTCTCAGCAAGATCACCAAGGTCTGATCCACCTCCAATACATTTATTATTGATTATTGCTAAATTCTGATCTATAAATAATCAATAAGAAGGTTTCAACTGATTTCAACCGTTAGTGGATTTACTGTAGCAACTCTGGCAGAAATATTATATCCGTACTAAATATTACTATATACTGTTGTATTATTTATATACTATTACCGTTTTTTATTAATGTTTTGAATTCACATTTATTTTTACACTTTCTGTTTTTAGTTTAATTTCTTTCTTTGAAATCTTTGTGTGCTTTGGTCATTTTTAGTAGTTTATGGTTTTAAAAAATATTATTTAGTTCGGTTCTAGTTTTTAAGTGCATCGACCTAAACTTGTTTTAGTTAGCTGCCAAAGCAACATTTCTGATGAGTTTTCATCATTTTTCAGTAAAAAAAAATAATAATAATAATGTTTTTAATGGTTTTTGTTTTAGGTAACAATAATTGATAAAAGTGTTATATTATTAATATTATTAAAATATATATTATGCAAAAATATAATTGATGTGTGGGGTATTATTATTATTCCTTATTATTGTAAATGTCTTTAAACGATTACGTTAGGCTGCAGTTTTTTTTAAGGTTATGAAAATTATTTTAATTTATTATTTAATTTATTTCAGTAATTTAATAACGCTCGCATGTTCACAGTTCTCGGATGTCATCTTATATTGAATCATTTTTAGTAAATGTTTTTTATTTTAAATATTAACATTATTTTTATGATTTTATGAAATATTATTATTTTTATGATTTAATTCATTTTTTGCTTTTCGTCGACTCACAAAATCCCTGCATTTAGAATCAGTTTTTATTTTTCTGTTTTCTACTTCTAAATTTATTCATTTTTATTACAGTTTTTGTTTTAATTATTTAAAGTTCAGTTAAATAAAAAATATATATTTTTAAATTTTAATATGAGAAATAAGTTTTATATATATATATATTATTTTTTTCACTTAACATTTATTTGTCATTTTTGTGCATTTGTGCTTTTTTTATACATGTCTATATAGCATATATTAATTTTTATTACAGTTTTTGTTTTAGTTATTTAAAGTTCAGTTAAAAAAAATATATATATATATATTTTTTTTTAATATGAGAAATACATTTTTTTTAAATATATATATATATATATATATCTTATTTTTTTATTTCACTTAACATTTAATTTAAGTACTTTTGTTTATGTTTGAATTCTATCTGTTAGAAAATATAATATAATTAATATATATAATTTTTGCTTTTCGTCGACTCACAAAATCCCTGCATTTTGAATCCATTTTAATTTTTCTGTTTTCTATTTTCATTTTAAAGTATTAGTCATTTTGTTGGGTTTTTGTCATTTTTAGTGCATCTGGGTTTGTCTATATGGCATTTATTAATTTTTTTAGTTATTTAAAGTTGAGTTAAATAAAAATAAGCTTTTTTATATTTTCTTTTTAATAGGAGTATAATATTTTTTTATTTCACTTCACATTTATTTCAAGTATTTTTTGTTTATGTTTGAATTCTGTCTGTCTGATAAAGTCTGACTTGCTCTCAGTATCACCGCTGAACACTAATGCTGTGTGTGTGTGTCGTGCAGCCGGGCGCTCTGGACTTCAGTAGTCAGCTTCTTGCCCCCGGAGGCAAAGGCTCGTGGGGCAGCTGGGGCAAAGGCAGCAGCGGGGGCTCCGGAGCCAAACCCGGCGACAGCAGTGAGTGTGTCACGCCTGTGATTGTGCTGTGCACCGCGTGAGACTCTGAGCTTTGTTTACATGTGTTTTCCAGCCCAGGATTCTGGTCGTACCAGCACTTTGAACCGCTTTTCAGCACTTCAGCAGCCTTCCTCCTCTTCATCTTCATCATCATCCGCCAACATCGACTCTGACAGGAGGGTTCCTCACAGGTCAGAGGTCACGCTCCGTTTAATACGGATATAGAAATAGGTGGGGGGGGGGGTTCGGTTTGGACAG